TGTTTAAAACAGCGATCCTCAATCTTTTAATCATCACGGACTACCAACATAAAAATAATAAATCTCACAAACCACTGCCCCATTCTTCTTTTTCTTTTTAGGAAAGTTTCCCTGTTTATTTGAGTGGATTTTTGAATATCTCTCTCCAGAACAAGATTGACGAGTTTCAGCGATTTTTAAAAAAAAAGAACTTAAAGTTAAATGTAATTTTAAAAATCGTATTCAACTTGGCAAGTTTTTAATTAAACACACTGGAGTCTAAAAGTTAGAAATACTTTAAATCAATCAATCTCTTAATCATCATGGATCACCAATCAAAAAATAATAAATCTCACAAACCACTGTCCCATTCTTCTTTTTTTCCTTTTTGGAAAAGTTTCCCTGCTGATTTGAGTGGATTTTTGAATATGTCTTTTCAAAACAAGAGTGACGTGCTTCGGCGATTTTTAAAACAAGAACCTAAAGTAAGATGAAATTTTAAAAATCGCATTCATTGTGGTAAGTTTTTAAATAAGCACACTGTATACTGGAGTCTAAAAGTTAGGAATACTTTTATACCAGACGTACGTGTAAGAATACGCTTAATTTTTGAACACTATTCGATGAAATTAACAATCAGGGACGAAAAAGAAAAATCAAATGATTATAAAGATTAATTAAAACTCACTTAATAATTGCAATGAAAGTAATAATATTCAATCAGTGTAACTTCACAATTTCTCATCAGTGTAAAGTTGCAAAATTCGACTGGAACCATAAATCCTCATTCTTTATCGCTAACGTAAATTAATTGTATCACGAACCATCAATGATTTATATGGCAACCGCGGGCTTAAAAACTATTTCGCATAGAAAAAGTAGCAAATTGATACACGTATTTCCTAAAATCTTCAAGAGAAATGTTTTTAGAAAGAATATATTTTTTGACAAACTTAATTATTTAAAAACAATCTTAATCTAAAAATTTACATTTTATTTAATATTATAAACAGTTTACTGAAATTATAAGCCTGAATGAATTTGTAAAGATTGTTCGCAAGATTAACAGAAAATGTATTAACATTTAAAGTGGTTTAAAAAAAAAACTAAAGTTAGAAATTTATTTGCACTGCAGCGAAAAGACAATTTTACAAATTGACTTTGACAGAAAAGTTTCAACTTCATTTAGAAGTTCTTAGAAGGAATCCTCCTTCGAAACTAAATCTATTATTTAACGAAATAAATTAGATACCTTCTTGATTATGTTAGTCTCCAGGGAAAATTCTGTTGAGAAGGTTGAAGCTGCTATCTAATCATTTAAAACAAATTTTCAAACACTGATTTAATTAAATTGTTAATCATTACATTTCGGTGTTTGTAACGATATAAAAGGTACTTGAAAAATGATTCTTAGTTTACTTGTTTTCTTAAAAAAAATCTCTACTCAAACGAATCAAATGTTAATTAATTTAAATATCTTTTTTACCACCTTGTAATTAAAAAGTTCTAGAAAATTTTTTCGTTTGTTAATAATCTCAAGATATTTAATTCTTGAAACTAAATAGTTACTTAAAATAATAAACAATTTTCGCGAAAAATATTAAGTCTTAACTTTTTGTTTTAAGCAACATACGTAATGTTGCTCAAAAGTTTGGAAAATAATTGTTTGAAAGTGAGCTGTGCTTGGAAGATTTTTACCTTCAACGCAGAAAAAGACTGTTAAATTATTGAAATTACATTTGTAAAATCCTAATGTAATATGTAAATGTAGTATGTAATCCTTGTGTAATATGTAATTTGTAAAATTTGTAATATGCGAAATCCTAAAAAAAAGTAGTTTAAAAAAATATTTTTCCTTCATATTCAAATATTTATGAATAATTAATTTTGTAAATTTTGCAAAAAAGTAGTTTAAAAAAATATTTTTCAATCATATTCAAAAATTTATCAATGATTCATTTTGTAAATAGTAAATTAAAGATACTTTGATGATAAATAACTGTTTCTTTTTAACCCAGATAACTGTAAATAAGAGCAAATTTGAAAAATTGTTCTTTGGAAGTGAGCCCCATGTCTGGAAGATTTTACCTTTAATGCAGAAAAAGACACTGCAGTTTTATTCTGTATTTCATAACCATCAATTAATATTAAATATAATATTTTTCTTCTGTTTTGACCTGAATTACTACAAAATAATGAAAAAATGTGAGAAATATGTTTAATAAATTTTGCATCAAAGGATTAAGTGGTTATTTAATCATTTAGGTTTTACACTCGTAGAAGCATACATATTGAAACTAATACCTAGAATGATGGCAGAAACCATAGTAGCCTTTTAGGTATTTTGCAATATTATAGAGAAATTTGTAGCTTTTCGTAATCATTCTAACACGTCCTTATAGTATTAAAATATAAATTTAGATGCATCGACTTAAAATGCGATGATTTTGTATATGCTCTTCTAATAATCAAGCCTCTACTATACCTTTAATAAATTATTATTTAGCATTTTTTTAGATTTTAGATGCATATTAAGCCTACTGAAAAATTCTGACAACGAAAAAACATGAAAACTAACTATGGAAGAATTCGTTTGTTTTCCTCAATTAACCTAAATGCTAGTTAATTTCAGTCAAAAAATTCTCTAGGAAAACAAATTCTTCTTAATGCTTTATCGAGTAAGGGTTATGTCTCAGTTTGTCTTATTTTGTCTCATAAACTATGAACATTGATATAGCCGCAACTCTAGTAAGAATCTGTAGCGTATCTACCACTCCAAAAATTTCAATTACAATTCACTAGTATATAAGGCATGCTAACTCTATTCTATGGTGGGGTACCTTTTCATAGATGAAAGTTGACATTATCGATAACAAATCACTCCCACATTGGTGACCCGGACGTGATGTGAACACGCCTACCTTGGCGCACTCGCCCACTACGATTTGAACACGCCTACTTCGATGGATGGTCCGCATTGAACAGTTGACTTGCTACTTGGGACTGCGACATTGCCCTTCTCGCGCTGTTGCTTCTCAGTCTCGATCCCACACAACGTATACACTCGACTGCTAAAGACAACACAGGAGCGACCACGACCGTGAACTTAAAACAGCTCTCACAATCAGCACGCAAAGAGTACGGTGATCTTAATGGAGCTCTCCCGGCTTCCCACAAAACAGCAATGAATCAACTAGTGGTATCCATTCATCGAATTCTATCACAAACATAATTCTGGTGGGGGAGTACTGTAGCATATCTACCACTACAAAAAATTGCAATTATAATTCACTAGTATGATAACTCGATTCTATGGTGGAGTACCTTTTCATAGATGAAGGTTGACATTGTCGATAACAACTCACTCCCCATAAATCTGTTCAACGCTAGTCATGAGATTCACTTACGCAATTTACATATTCATATTAAAAAAAATAAATGAGAAGAATGAAAATCCATCAATGAATAAAAAATACAATTTATTTCAAATTTTATTTTGCCAAAAACAAGAAATTATTTTAATCTGATGATTTCCAATTAGAAAATAATTGCCACTGTTGCCAGGATTTTCATACATGTAAGGAATTTAGAATATTATTTTTCAAATTTAAAACGCAGCTAATAAAAAAAATTGAATACTGTATTCTCAAATTTCAAGACGTAACCCTCATAGTTATTGAAAAAACATATATATCTCGAATACGTAAATAGAATGTTATAAACATTTAAATATCTTGTCCTTGGCATATAAATCATTTTATTGCTTTATGCATGCAATCTGGAATTTAGATTAGAGGGATAATAATCACTGATATTTATTCCTAATCCTGTATTTTTATACATCAACTAATTTTCTCAGAGTATCTCTCATAATCAAGGTTAAGAGAGAAAAAAGTTTGTCTCTAAGCTTAATTAGAAATACATAGAAATAACATGACAGTACTTCAGTTTCACAAAATATTGTGAATAGTAATGCGTGTAAATAACGTAATTCTATTTCAGCTTAATAAGCCATAGTAAATAGAAAAAACATAGTGATGTGTCTTAATTTAATGAAATATTGTGAGCACATTCAAAAAGCGTAAAATTATTTCAAATTATTAAGACATTGTAGATAGAAATGAATACAAAAACACAAAACGACTTCATGGTAAAACATTTTAATAATTTCAAAAATTCATAATTAAAAACTCTTGCTGAATTATATCTGTAATTGGTTTACTAATTAGTTCAGGTAAGAATTCAGAAAACTTGTAACGCACCTATTAAGAAACAATACTATGGACCAATTTACTGTAAAATTATCACTTTTGGAAAAAATGTGTCTTATTATAAAAATATCTCTTTTCACTATGTTATAATCGAAGCTCTTTTCAAAAAAAAAAAAAAAAAAAAAAANGTTTTTTTTTTAAAAAAAAAAAAAAAAAAAAGAAAAGAAAACCTTAACTTAATAAAATATTGTAAAAGAAGATTTAAAAAAATCGAATACTTTCAGTTGCCAGATTGAAATATATGTTTGAACAGTTCAATAAAAATTTCAAAAAAGAATTTTCTGAAAATTGNTTTCAAAAAAAAAAAAAAAAAAGAAAACCTTAACTTAATAAAATATTGTAAAAGAAGATTAAAAAAAATCGAATACTTACAGTTGCTAGATTAAAATATATGTTTGAACAGTTCAATAAAAATTTCAAAAAAGAATTTTCTGAAAATTGAATGAAATATTATTTTTAATAAAATTAAATTTCTGAACCCTGTTAAGGAAATATACTATTCATTTTTATCTATTCAAGGTGACTTTTTTAAATATATCTGATTAAAATTTTTAATGATTAAACTGATTTAACTTTAAATTAAATTATTTTTATTAATCCTCAAAAATCATATAGCATATTAAAATCAATTAAAAAAAAGGAACTGATAGAAATCATAAAGCATTAGTATTTTATATCATTTAATGTATTTATAAATAAGTAGTCTTACATTGAAACTTGCTGAAAATCTCTGATTTTTTTCAGGTAGGTGATTTTCAAATATTTGAAAGAATCCGATCCGCCAGAAGCTTCATGATGGATTCCGCAGCAGTCGAGTCTTTTACTACAACAGCTCTGACTCTTTTGATAACCAACGCTATGAATTACACTGAAGCAAATATTTCAGCAAGGTCAACTTTTGAACCTGAAATAGAAAAATCCCCTTATTCTATCATAGAAATGATCCTGATTGCAATCGTAGCTGGTTTTCTTAGCATAATCACAGTCATTGGTAACATCATGGTCATGATATCATTTAAGATGGATAAGCAGCTTCAGACAATCAGCAACTATTTTCTCTTAAGTTTAGCGGTTGCGGACTTTTCCATTGGCCTAATCTCTATGCCTTTATTTACTATGTATTTACTAATAGGGACTTGGCCACTTGGAGACTTCGTCTGTGATTCTTGGTTAGCATTTGATTATTTAAATAGCAATGCTTCGGTTCTAAACTTACTCATAATAAGTTTTGATCGGTATTTCTCAGTTACAAGACCCTTAACATATCGAGCGCTTCGAACAACAAGAAGAGCTGCGTTTATGATTGCCTCTGCATGGGTAATATCATTAATGCTGTGGCCACCATGGATCTATGCGTGGCCTTACATAGAAGGGGCAAGAACTGTTAAGAAAAATCACTGCTATATTCAGTTTTTGGAAACTAATTCATATGTTACTTTTGGGACAGCATTAGCAGCTTTTTATGTTCCAGTAACTGTTATGTGCTTTTTGTATTGGAGAATTTGGCGTGAAACAAAGCAAAGGCAGAAGGATTTGAGTCATTTGCAAGCTGGAAAAAAGGAAGACAGTCGAAAATCAACATCTAGTGATGATCCACCAGAGCATGAAGAAGTAGTTCGGAAAACAGAAGAAAGTAAAAAGTTTCGTTCCGATTCTTGCGTTCTAGAAGAAGAAACGGAAACAACTTATGTTCCAACATCACTTTGCGTAGAAACATCTAAATATCTCCCAAAAAATCCCGAATCCAAGAGATTGAAAATAACAGAAATCTTACGAGCTTGGTGCAGAATGGATCGTGAAGGTGATCCTCAAGAAGAAGAAAGCACGAGTCATGAATCTCCAGCTACGACACCTGCTTCATTAGAAACACCCATACAACCCTGCTCTAGAACAGCTTCGATGAGTCTTAGAATTGATCATCGCATGCCATTACAAACACAAAATTTACCTTCAACCTCTTCTCAAAAGACGAATGATCAGGCCATACCTATGACTGAAAGAAATGGACAAAGAAGATTTGAGCCAGTTATACCTGAATGGAAACGGCAAGTTACAAGTATGATTCCTAGACCAGCAACCATTCCTGTAGCTCCACCTTCTGTTCCTACAGCTATCCAAAGCACTAATATTGCAGCTATGCGTCCTCGACAACCTGCAATAGCAACAGTTTCTTCTCCTCAAACACCCGTATATTCCCCTGATTCAGTTTATACTATTTTGATTCGTTTACCCCAAAAGTCTGCGTCTGTTGAAGGTGAGACACAACCCTCCATCAAGATGATAATGGATGATGAAGAAAATGCTGATGCGATTGAAGTTCTACCAGATGATCCAAATGCAAAAAATGCTTTAGAAAAAGGAACGGCCAGTAGCTTAGTTAGAGCTGCCGATACTGCAGTGGATGCTATTCGACTACCATTGAATACGAAGCTTGTTCATAAGCAAGTTGCTAAGCATAGAGCTCCTAAGAAAAAGAGAAAGCAGCAAGAACGAAAACAAGAGATGAAAGCAGCCAAAACTCTGAGCGCTATTTTGTTTGCATTTACGGTGACTTGGACACCATATAATGTTTTAGTTCTTTATAAGACCCTCTCGAATTGTGAAGATGATGACTGCATCAGTCCAGGATTGTGGTATTTTGCATATTACCTTTGCTATATTAACAGCACAGTGAATCCCTTTTGCTACGCACTCTGTAATGCAAATTTTAGACGAACATACACCAGAATTTTGTCTTGTAAGTGGCACAATAAGAAGCGGACTCTTGACAGTCGTGGATATTTTACTTAAAACAGCGTTTTTACACGTCTTTATATGCTTGTTGTATGGTGATTGTTTATTGTTGTAAATGAATTTTTAACATAAGTGAAAAATAAGATCTATATGTATTCATATATTCTTCAACAAACATTTGTAGTTTTCTACAAATGACATGTATATACACTGTTCTTTTGTTCTATATAAATGTTTGTCAATGTAGTTTTATAACTTTATTTTTGCCTTAACATACAGGTTGAACAAAAATAAGAGATCAGGTGTTTGAAATCTCAATGCCTAAATACCTGCTGTCAAAAATTTCATTAAATATCGCATACATGTGGACCATGGAAAACAAACGATCGAAATCTTTCAAGTATCGGCATTCAGATATTCAGTTTGGAGAATAATGTCCAAAATCTGTTTAGTATCGGCATTCACATATTCGGTTAGGATAATATGTCCGAAATTTTTGTTAAATATCATTATTTGATATTTACATTAACAGACATCGACATTCAGTCAACACCTCCAAGACAAGAGAAGGCCTCTGCACGGGTTACCATAAATGGGAAATCCGATCATTTAGTAGTCCGAACAGAGTGACATCTTTCATATTTTTTTCTTCACAGAGCAATTTAGTAACCCGAACGTAGTGATATTTTTCATATTACTCTGCACTGCGAAGTTCATGTTCGTTATGTCGGACTACTTAATTGTTGTTGTTGTTGTTAATTTACGTCGCACTAGAGCTGCACAATGGGCTATTGGCGACGGTCTGGGAAACATCCCGGAGGATGATCCGAAGACATGCCATCACAATTTTGATCCTCTGCGGAGGGGATGGCACCCC